TGTGGATTGGCAGTGTTGAGAATCAGAGGAGTGATGATTTTCCTTTTTGAATTTTCTCCATTTTTCTCTCACCTCAACAATTCTTTTCATTGAATTCTTTTCATTGCTTGTTGTAATGCTCAGAATCCTCTGAAAATTCCACTGAAATTCCCAGCAAATCTGCCATTCCTGAAATTAAGAACTGGCAAAAAAAAAAAATGTAATGAGTCATAAAATTGTTCTCCCAGAATGCAGAACTTAATTAAATCTGGGCTAATCACTCATTTGGAAATTCCACACTCATTCCACACTGTTGGAAAATGAGAATGAGGTCAACTTCCAGTGGTCTCCAACTCATCCAGAGACTCCATAAAAAGTCCTTAATTACCCTGGAATTACTCATCTCTAATTGTTTTTTGTCTTCATGGTGCTTGGGATTTATTTTCTCAGTATTAGCTAAATAGATTTAATTAGTTTATCTACCTAAATGTAATTTAAAGTGGCTTTTGTAACTTTCTTAGGTCATTAAATACCAAAAAAGAGAGAGATAATGGGGCAGTGCTTGGATCTCATCATTGTTTTCCTGGGCTTGGATGCAACCTAGCCTTGCCTGTGGAATTTGGAAATGCAGAGAGCAATTAGGATCAATTATTGCAATTAGAGAGATGTTTCAACAGGAAGGTTCCAGGCTCCAAAAACAATCCCTGGGGAGCAGCAGGGCAGGGATGCCAAGGCTCCTGGAACACCTGGAATTTCAGAGCCTTGCACTTTGGCTCTGGGCTGCAGCCATGGAGCAGATTGGGGGCTCAGCTCAGGCACTTTGGGGCTGTTTTCATGGAAAAATGGGAATCCTGCAGGATTTAATCTGTGGGAATGGGCAGCAGATCAGTGTGGTGAGGATCCAGGGATTTTGACTTGATTTTTTCTGTTTTCCCAGTGAGTTTGGAGCCATTTTTATGGGAATCCTTCAGGATTTATTCCCCCTCAGTCTGGGTGAGAATCCAAGGATTTTAACCTGACTTTTGCTGTTTTCCCAGGCAGTTTGGGACCCTTTTGCAGTGGGAATCCTTCAGGATTTATTCCAGCTCACTCTGATGAGGATCCAGAGATTTTAACTTCTCTTTGCTGTTATCCTGGGATAACAGTTTTGGAGCCATTTTTGTGTAGCAATGGGAATCCTGCAGGATTTATTCCATGGGAATCTGTAGCAGCTTGGTCTGACTGAAGACCCAGGAATTTTAACCTGATTTTTGCTGTTATCCTGGGATAACAGTTTTGGAGCCTTTTTTCATGGAGCAGTGGGAATCCTTCAGGATTTATTCCAGCTCGGTGTGGGTGAGAATCCAGGGATTTTTCCTTGCTCTTTGCTGTTATCCCAGTGAGTTTGGAGCCATTTTCAGTGGGAATCCTTCAGGATTTATTCCAGCTTATTCTGGGTGAGGATCCAGGGATTTTAACCTGACCTTTCCTGTTATCCCAGTGAGTTTTGGAGCCATTTTTCATGGAGCAATGGGAATCCTTCAGGATTTATTCCATGGGAATGTTCAGCAGCCTGGTCTGGGTGAGGATCCAGGGATTTTAACCTGATATTTGCTGTTATCCCAGTGAGTTTGGAGCCATTTTTATGTAGCAATGGGAATCCATCAGGATTTATTCCTTGGGAATGTGCTGCAGCTCAGTCTAGTGAGGATCCAGGAATTTTAACCTGATTTTTGCTGTTATCCTGGGATAACAGTTTTGGAGCCATTTTTATGGAGCAATGGGAATCCATCAGTATTTATTCCCCCTCAGTGTGGGTGAGAATCCAGGGATTTTAACCTGATCTTTGCTGTTATCCCAGGCAGTTTGGGGCTGTTTTCCTGGAAAAATGGGAATCCTTCAGGCTTTATTCCACCTCATTCTGGGTGAGGATCCAGAGATTTTAACTTATCTTTGGTGTTATCCTGGGATAACAGTTTTGGAGCCATTTTTGTGTAGCAATGGGAATCCTGCAGGATTTATTCCATGGGAATGTTCAGCAGCCTGGTCTGGGTGAGGATCCAGGGATTTTAACCTGATTTTTGCTGTTATCCTGGGATAACAGTTTTGGAGCCATTTTTCATGGAGCAATGGGAATCCTGCAGGATTTATTCCAGCTCAGTCTGGGTGAGAATCCAGGGATTTTAACCTGATTTTTGCTGTTATCCCAGTGAGTTTGGAGCCATTTTTATGGGAATTCTTCAGGATTTATTCCCCCTCAGTGTGGGTGAGGATCCAGGGATTTTACCTTGACCTTTGCTGTTATCCCAGTGAGTTTGGAGCCATTTTCATGGAGCAATAGGAATCCTTCAGGCTTTATTCCAGCTCAGTGTGGGTGAGAATCCAGGGATTTTAATTTACTCTTTGCTGTTATCCTGGGATAACAGTTTTGGAGCCATTTTTATATAGCAATGGGAATCCTTCAGGATTTATTCCCCCTCACTGTGGGTGAGAATCCAGGGATTTTAAACTGAACTTTGCTGTTATCCCAGGCAGTCTGGGGCTGTTTTCCTGGAAAAATGGGAATCCTTCAGGCTTTATTCCCGCTCAGTCTGGGTGAGAATCCAGGGATTTTACCCTGATTTTTGCTGTTATCCCAGTGAGTTTGGAATCATTTTTATGTAGCAATGGGAATCCTTCAGGATTTATTCCATGGGAATCTGTAGCAGCTTGGTCTGACTGAAGATCCAGGGATTTTAACCTGATTTTTGCTGTTATCCTGGGATTACAGTTTTGGAGCCATTTTTATGTAGCAATGGGAATCTTGCAGGATTTATTCCACCTCAGTGTGGGTGAGAATCCAGGGATTTTACCTTGACTTTTGCTGTTACCTCAGGCAGTTTGGGGCTGATTTCCTGGAAAAATGGGAATCCTGCAGGATTTATTCCATGGGAATCTGTAGCAGCTTGGTCTGACTGAAGATCCAGGGATTTTAACCTGATTTTTGCTGTTATCCCAGGCAGTTTGGAGCCATTTTTATGGGAATCCTGCAGGATTTATTCCAGCTCAGTGTGGGTGAGGATCCAGGGATTTTCCCCTGACTTTTCCTGTTATCCCAGTGAGTTTGGAGCCGTTTTTATGGGAATCCCTCAGGATTTATTCCACCTCAGTGTGGGTGAGAATCCAGGGATTTTCCCTGCTCCCTTTGCCCTGGGATTTCTGCTCTGATTCCAAAACCCCTCCCTCCCCTCTCTCCATGAAATCTTTGTTATTCCAAGGATTTTATTCCCATTTTTTTTCCTTCTGAAGGAGATTAAAGGAGTTGAGAACTGCAGTGTGTTGTGTCTTTTTTTGCAAAATGAACATCAAGGGCTCTCCCTGCACACTTGGGGGAATTTTCTTGGAAAAATTGGGGAATTCTTCACACAAATTATAAATATTTGAAGATTTGATGTCGTGATTCCAGTTAAATTTGGGAATGTTCATTTTTGACTTCAGGTTCTTTAAATTTTGTCCTGTAAAGGCCAAAAAAAGCCATTTTCCAGTGGGTTTTCCTGAGGCAGAAATCTCACTGGAATATTGGGAATTTTGCCTTCACCTCATGAATATTAATATTCATAAGAGTCATATTATGAACATTAATGTTCCTAATATTTGTATTAATAAGCAATAATGTTCATAATATTCTTATTGATAATCAAGAATGTTCATAATATTCATATTAATGAACAATAATGTTCATAATATTCGTATTAATGAACAATAATATTCATATTAATGAATAATAATGTTCATAATATTCATATTAAGGAACAATAATTTTCATAATATTCATATTAATGAATAATAACGTTCATAATATTCGTATTAATGAACAATAATATTCACAATATTCATATTAATGAACAATAATATTTCAATATTCATATTAATGAATAATAATATTCACAATATTAATATTAATGAATAATAATATTCACAATATTCGTATTAATGAATAATAATTTTCACAATATTAATATTAATGAATAATAATGTTCATAATATTCATATTAATAAACGATAATATTCACAAAATTCATATTAATGAACAATATTTACAATATTCATTTTAATGAATACTAATATTCACAATATTAATATTAATGAACAATAATATTCACAATATTCATATTAATGAACAATAATGTTCATAATATTTGTATTAATGAACAATAATATTCACAATATTCATATTAATGAATAATTATATTCACAATATTCATATTAATGAACAATAATATTCACAATATTCATATTAATGAA